TACATTTGCTGACCACTGAGAGCCCACACAGTATGGACACAATCTTTCTGGGAAGTTTAGGGCAGACTGGCTTTGGGTTGTATGATGAACTAAAATAGTTGGCTGAGACTTAGTATTCTGGATATTTGGACAGTTTCTTTCTCATGGACCTTCTAAGGCTCTGGAATGATATAGATGGAGGAGACCTAAGAACAAGGAAATGTTAGAATGTAGGCTATAGAATGACATGTGTCCAGGTCCTGAGAGGTCTCCTTCAACTCCTTCATTGGAGGGGAATGATACCTGAAGTGGTTAAATAACTTGGGCAAAGGCACGCAAAGAGTAAGAGACAATGCTAGGACTGGCACCCAAGGCTTCTGATTCCTAATCCAGAGTTTTAAGGCAAAAAAAGTCTGTTGGCCATAGGGTACTAGTTTGCAGCCAGGGTAAAGAATGATGGATTTGGAGTCAGAGGACCTAGGACCAAAATCAGGCTCTGCCACTTACTCCCTGTAGGACCTGGTATAAATCCCTTAGTCTCTTTGGGCTAAAGTTCCTTTGTCTGTAAAATGGGAGGTTTGGACATGGTTACCTTTAAATACCTTTCATGTGAAGACCACAGAATGTTTAGAGAAAGGTCTTGAAGGATTTTTACTTTATTTTTTGTCAAAGAGAAATAATCAGTGGAAAGAACACTGGATTTGGGTATACAAAAAAATTGGGCTCATGACCTTTTTAACTAGTGATGACCTTGAACAACTGATTTAACTCTCTAAGTTTTCCATTTCCTCCTCTGTGAATTGAGAGGATAACTGTCTTCAAGTCCCTGAAAGTCTGTGACATGAAAGGAATAGATTTATTCTGCTTGGGTGGAATTCAGATTTTATGTAAGGAAAAAAAAACCCACTTCTTCACAATGTTTGTTGTTGTTCAGTTGTTTTAGTTGTGTCCAACTCTTTGTGATCCCATTTGGGGTTTTCTTGGCAAAGATACTGGAGTGCTTTGCCATTTCCTTCTCCAGGTCATTTTACAGATGAGGCAAACAAGGTTAAGTGACTTGCCCAGGGTCATATAGATAGTAAGTGTCTAAGGCAAGATTTGAATGCAGGTCTTCCTGACTTCAGGCCTGGTGCTCCATCCACTGCACCACCCAGCTGCCCATCTTCACAGTGGGAGGTTTCCAAAAGTTAAATGAGCTCCCTCTTCAGGTAAGGAAGGGGAAGGAAATACACATTTATTAAGTGCCAGGCACTATTTTAAACACTTTATAAAAAATAAGATCCCCACAAAAACAATCCTGGAAAGTAGGTACTCATTTTACAGTTGAAAAAACTGAGGTAGACAGAGGTTAAGTTACTTTCCCAGGGTCACAAAGCTAGTAAATGTCTGAGGCTGAATTTGAACTTAGGTCTTCCTGACTCCAGGCCCAGTGCTCAATTCACTAAGCCACTTCAAGGTTTTCAAAGTTTGGATGAACTTGCTAGGAATGTTATTGAGTGGATTCTTGGCCAGATATGAGTTGGATCAGAGGACCTCTGGGATCCCTTCCAACTTTTGTGTGATATTCAAAGTTTCAAAAGCTTACGATCCTAAGCAGTTGAATGCGTCTATCTGCAAGGCCTACTCAGCAGAGCCACATACATGAAGAACAGAAGCCCTGGTTGCCAGAACTCTATCCCTCCTCCCCATCCTCCTCCACACATCCCTCTGAGAAGAAGCAGATGCATCCCTGGCTTAGAAATCAGAAGAATACAAGGGGTTGGCAGCTACTGTTTCCTACACCACTTTACACTGCCCAGGGCTGTGGGTTTCTGCCTTTCAGGTTATTACAATTTTAAAACTTGGTCAAGGGTGAATAGGAAAACTAAGTGAGCTTCTGCACTTGTAGGTGAAATTGTACCACATCTACTAGGTGTGATGGTAGCCTCAGCTTGTCAGATGCTAGTCTAAGACCAGCCCAGACCAACCACCCAACCTGTTTTCTTCCATCAACATGTATTAAAAATATAATCATAACTGATATTTATATAGCATTTTATAACTATCTCCTTTGAGCTTTATGATAACACTGTAAGGTATAGCACTATTTTTTTATTTTTTACAAATTTTACAAATGAGGAAACTGACTCAGAGAGATTAGTTAACTTCCCCGTGGCCATATAGCTAGTAAGTGCTCAAATCCAGGTATTACTGTCTCCAAGTCCACCCCTCTGCCTCTTATACAACACGTCTTTCTCTTTCTCCCTACCTTCCTTTCTCTTTTCACCCCTCCCCTCCACCAAGTGATGATATTTTTCTAGACATTTTGGTGAAGTAGTAAAGGATCGGGATCTCAAGTTGTACAACCTTAAGTAAGTTAGTTTCCACTCTATGAGCCTCAGTTTCCTCATTTTTAAAATGAAGGGATTTAATTAAATGGTCTCTAAGGTCCACTCCGACTCTAACATCCTGTATTTCAAGGTTTGGCCTCTAATGTCTGAGTTCTGAGTTTTTCTAAAGTTTCTCAAAGGAAAAGAGTCCTTGGGGGTTTCACGTCTCCTCCTTTCCCTTCCTATCCCTGGATTAGACTCCATTTTCATTTGCTATGACTTCATAACATTCTGTTGTCCATCCCTCTGCCCAATATGCCTTAGTATTCCTCTTCTCTCCTCCTCTGTCCTAGAGGACTTCTCACTAATGAAGAAAAATGGTTCCTCTCATTCTTTGCCTTTCTGTTCCTCTGTTCTACTTTCTGCTTGCTGTCTCTTCTTTCTAATTGGTTATCATCTTTTTGGTCCTCCTCACTCCTTTTTCATGTTTCTTGTTCCTCTCAGTAGTGAAGGGAGATCCGTCTTCTCTAGCCACTTGAGGCCCAGAGAGGCCAAAGCTAGTAAGTTAATGGGAAATTCAGGATTAAAACCCACATAAAATCACAAACACACACTCGCACACATACATGCACCTGAACACATTTGGGATACTTGCCTGAAATTAGAGGGTCTTTTCTAGTCACCTTTCAATTACCAGAGGCAAATGACCCAATACCTCTTTTATTCCTCCTTCCTCTAATTGCTTACCTTTCAACTGCTCACTGACTCAAAGGTGGATAAATTATCCTCCCGTACTTAGCACAATGCCTTGCACACAGAAGATACTTGTTGAGTCTAATTAGAGAGCAATGTATGCCTTTGGCTTAGTGGCCTACAAACACTCTCATTGGCAATATGCATTTATTAAGCACTTACTGTGTGTAAAGCACTACCCTAATTGTTGGGGATACAAACAAAACAAAAAATGCCTGCTTTTGGGAAGCTTACGGTTAATAGGGGAAACAACATGAAATAACAATGTACAGACGAGATATATAGACAGGCTATATTGAAGATAATGAACGAAAGGGAATAGTATTAAATGTGATCAGGAAAGACTTCTCAGAGAAGGTGGGATTTTAGTTAGGCCTTGAAAGAAGCAGAGATGAAGGAGAGAATTCCAAGCATGAAAAATTACTTATATGGAAAATAATATTTCAATAATTGCATGGATCTGTGCTCCACTGGGACATACCACAGTGTGCCTGAAAGGCCAGCAGATGGGGTTGAGCCTCTGTAGAGGCTCAGAGAGAGGACACAGACAAGAGGATTTGTTCTCTTGCTGCGTGGTGAACTCATCCACATTCTCTACTACATCCTCCACAGGCCAGGCACCTTCTTCTAGATCTCTGAACTTTCTGTTGGTACCAGAGCAGTCCTCAGGCTGCCCATCTGTTATCTCTCACTCTAACATGACTGACCCACCTCCTTTTCTGACCATACATTTCCTTGAGGCTACTTCTCCACTTGGATCATTGATGAGAAGATGCTGCCCCTTGCTTATTTGCAGCCAGGATGCTTTTTTGCCCTTTGTGTACCCTGAAATTTGGACAGTGTTTGGATTATAGTGTTCCAAAGACACTTGTACAAAAAAGGGTATCAGCATAAGAATAAAACCTAGAATGGAATTTATCAGGGACCTTATATATTTTGTTTCATCAGTGCAGAAGTTGTTTCACCCAAGTGGTGAACCCCAATTTAAAAAGCCCATGTGACTTAGGACAAAGCCCATTTCTAGATTTCAACAAGAAAATACTTTCATTTTCCAAATAAAATATATGTTCTTCCATCGGTCACATAATTTTTTCACTTTGTGATATAGAAAGTTTTTCACTATCTATGAGAAGATTGCTTGCAACTACCCACAGGGCCCTCCTAACATTGGGCCAGAGCTGAGAGGATATTCTGGCAATGTACCACTGAGGGTGGAACATAAGCATGACTCTTGTGATGTGGTAAGAAATGAACTATGAGTTCCAGAAAGCCCCCAGGAGAGTCACTCAACAGGGAATCAAAAGACCTGGGCCTGTAACCTTGGGCAAATCACTTTCTCTCTCTCTCTCTCTCTCTCTCTCTCTCTCTCTCTCTCTCTCTCTCTCTCTCTCTCTGGGTTTCAGCTTTTTTATCTTATGTGGAAGCTAGACAAAATTTCCTCTTAGGTCCTTTTCAAATCAAACATTTTATGATTCAAAGGTACCTTCTAGTTCCAGTATTATTCTGATGCCAAAAGTTAATAGAAAAAATTTAGGGTCAGGAGCACCTATTTTTGCTGAATGTCAGAGGCTTCAGAGATGGAGAGGATGTTCAAAAATAATCTATTTCAGATCTCTTTTATTGCCCTGCACTACTGTGACTAATAGGACATGACTGTATAGACTGATAAAGCTTTCTAAAAAGAGTAGGCACTTAGTACACTTTAGTGGTGACTTTCTTTTAAAGAGAAATTTCCTACTAACTAAGGGCAAATATTGACCCAGATTTAAAGCACAAACTCCCAAGAATTATAGGCAGTGGAGAGGGAACAGGCCAATTTGTTGACCGAGGACAGTAAGACAGCACTTGCTCTAACATGGTGCCTCATCTGTAAGATCCTCAAAATCAGGTCTAACCTCTGTACATTGCTTTTAGGGTGTGTGTGTGTGTGTGTGTGTGTGTGTGTGTGTGTGTGTGTGTGTGTGTGTGTGTGTGTGTGTGTGTGTGTGTGTGTGTGTGTGTGTGTGTGTGTGTGTGTGTGTGTGAAACTGGGAGGTCAGAGATGAACAGCAATGGAGGTCCCAAAGTGAGGTTGCCCCATATCTGGGGCACATTGCCTTATTTTCTATACTGCATTTCTCACACAAGTTCCAAACATTCCTCTTACTCATCCCTTTAATTGGATTGTAAACAATACAAAATTAGCCGTAAGGCAAATACAGTAATTCCTTGTTTATCTGGTCCCTTCCAGCACTAACTTTTATGAGCTATGCCTCACAGTGATTGGGGAAGGAACAATTCCACCTAAGTGAATTTTCTGGATAACTGGTTTCTTCTTTAAAGCATACCAACTATGATTATTTTAACCATTTTTAGATGAAAACCCACATTCCTAAAATGCATTATACCTCCCTGACTCCTTCAACAGAGATTTTTAAAAATTAGAACTATGATTCCATGATATAAGGAACTCCCAATGTGGAAATTTCTTTCCAATGAAGAATCACACCTGCTTTGCAACTTAAGGGTCTTCAAGAGCTTCCTGGGGCACTAAAAAATAAGCAATTTTCTCATGGCTACCCAGAGGCAGGGTTTGAACTCAAGTCTTCCCAACTTGGTCAGCTTTCTACTCATTCCCCTAAGCTGCCTCTTTGGCACAGGTACCAGAGGATTAACATTAGTTGTTTGTTTGTTTTTTAATAGCCTGGGCTTTCTGGGCCCTGTGGAGATACTCTTAAGGGCTCCTAAAATAATCAGGGCTTTTTATGCCTCCCTGGAATGGTCACAGGCTCTGAGCTTTCTGAAAGCATGTCTAAGCCTTTCTCCACTTGGAAAGAGCACTGGACTTAGTGCCAGAATACTTGAGTTTGAGCCCAGATTTGTAACCTGTTTGTCCTTGGACAAATCACTTAATTTCTGTGTCCCAGTTACTACATCAGTAAAATGAGGGAACTGGAAGAGATGACCTTCATAGTCCCTTCCAGCTCTAGATATATGACCCCATGATACTTGAACTACCTGCATCATAGGGTTGTTGGGAGGAGAGCATTTTGTAAAACATAAAATGCCATTTAAGAGGAAGACAGTAACTTTCTGCTTCTAATCTGATTTGGACTGGGAGACCAGATAATAATAACGTTAACAGCAATGCTAACTCACATTTTAGCGTGCTTCAATCACTAGTTAGAATTTTATAAAAAGTAAGAGTAAGTAAACTCTGAGTGAGGGCCAGAGAGGCTCTAATAAATAAAATGCATGAACTTTAGTGCGTGTATCTATTTTAGCTGTTCAGAGACTTTTTTCTTTTTGGTTTCCTGTCAAGTTCTAAGTTGAGTCTAGATAGCAGAGAATTGATTTCCAGATAAATGAGATGTTACTCTATTTGTTCTTCATGGCTACAAAAAATACTGCAGAATGATATCTGAGAAGCAGGTTAGGATTTTTTCCATTAACATACAGTAATTATGTATTTAAACATACACGAAGAATATCTATCACATGTATATAGCCTGCATCTCATTCCCTAACAACACATACAAACATATGTTATAAATATAGTCATATAATATTGTATAAAAAAATTAACTTAGCTCCAGTTACACTGATGCTGGGCTAAAACAGATTAAGGTTTTGCCGGCTGGCTCTGACCACATTTCCAGTTAGTGCTATGTCCTTGGGAAAAATCCTGGAGTTGGAGGGCAGACCAGAGCATGGAATGACAAGCCTGCTGTCTCCTGGTTTTTGGTGCTTGCTAAGTTGGTGGAGGGCCCTCATACCGCAGCATCAGCTTGAAGGAACGGGCGAAGTTGTTGGAAAAGGCACAGCTCCACCTCTCTTGTCCTAGGGGCAGCAGCAACAGAAGTAAGAGCAGGGACAGCAAGAAGAGCTGGAGGGGTAGGGCTACACAGCACACTCGATGGAGGAAGGGGCACAGTCCTCCTGGACGACTCTGCAAAACAGAAGCAGGGGAAAGTGGCTTAGTGACCAGGGAGGGAGGTTGAGACTAGCTTAAGGAATGGAAAGAACAGTCACGGAAGCTAGATCCAGTAGCAGCTCCTGACCATGCTCCTCAACCAGAAAACTTCCGGGGCCTCTTTATCGCCTATCATTCAAAGCCCTCTAAAAGCTGTCTCTAACCCACCTTTTCAACTTTATCTCACACTGCTATCCTTCAAGGAGTCTAGCTTTTGACTAAATTTGAATCCTCTTTGTCTACCTCTCCCTAACTCGTTGCCAGTTCTTGTTACATTCTTCTTTCATAATCATTTTGTGTACGTATGTCTTCATACCCCAGGAGGTTGTAAACTCTTCCAACAGTCTCGACCTTATTTTATTTTATCTTTGTATTCTCACTATTAGGAAGAAAGCCTTGCATGTAGCATGCATTCATTCATTAAACCAACATTTACTAAATACATACCATGTGTCAGGCACTGAGATAGGAGACACAAAGACAAAAATGAAACTCAACTTGTTAAACTGAGTTGAATTGACATGCAGGGGTTATTAACCTTGCTTCTACATTACCTTTACCATGGGACTTTGAGCAAATCACTTAAATGGCTTCATGCCTCAGTTTTCCTGTCTTTTGTGATTTTTTTGTTTTTATCTTGCATTTATTTCTGGATATACCCTTCCCACAAGGCCCAAGTGAGCCTTCCCTGATAACCAGAACGAAACAATTGAGCAAAATCAAATAACATGGCAGCCGTATCTGATGGGTGAAATGAGACACCTGTCACGCTGTCTACAACCTGGGGCTGTGAACATGTGACTGTCCTTCTCTTTGTGTTTATTCTTTCCTGATCTCAAGTGAATAAGTATTTCAAGACAAAGTGCTCAGGAGACATTCCTCATGAGTTTGGATGGTCCAGAGGTCCCACTAAAGAGCCTATTGGTGGTCAGGGCTGAATAGTGGCAAGTAATTATAACATCCACCAGAGTGGCAGTGGCCAGTGGCAGGAGACACATCTGCAAAGGGAGAGGAAAAATCCACTAAGGACAAATAGACATAAGACAGCAGTCACTTGGGTGAACTTCCTGCTCTCTTGTGGCAGACAGAAGTGCCTTCTATGGACTCTAGAAAGGCCCAACCCTTTGAGCCCATAGAAGAGCTAAGGGAAATTCCATAGGAAAAGGACTTCCAGCATAATAGTTCCACATGTGTACTTCATTACAATCATAATCCAAGTTTAAGACTTTTCTTCCCATAGACACTATGTATATTTGTAAGAGACTGCTCCTCTCAGGTTTTGGGGGAAATGTTTTGCACCAACTGTTCTTTCCATACCACATGAGTAAATAAATGCCTTTTATAAAAGCTAACTGAGGCTACTGGCTGACTGTTGATGGGGACATACCAGTGTGGGATTGGGAGCAACAGTCCTAAAAGTATAGCTCCACAGGATGAGACTAATAAGACAGACAGCTAGACATTTTTCTCTGATCCTTCTAAACTCTAAAGTCTCTCCAAAATAAGAATTGCGCACAAGAGACAAAGGAATTTTATCTATATCCATGGTCTAAGACACCAAGAACCTTAATGAGATAACCTGACTAACTAAGAGCAGAGAAGACTAATACCTAGTCTCTAATGCACTATCTCAGTACCACTTCCTTCATAAGCCCTCAAGCTCTGACATGGTGTTACAACAACCTGACCCATGTAAGTTTGTAACAGAGCTCAAGTTTGCATCTACATCTACCCTGCAATATGGAAAGTAGGAACCATGTTCTGCCTGAGAGGACAGCGTGGCAACATGCTGTTCTGCAACAGTACTCAGTCAGAGAATAGAGGGAGAGTGAACTGTGACAAGATGCCAGCATGTGTGTGGCTCCACCAGGCCTCAAGGAAATGGAACTGGCATCCACTTGAGCCAGGTTTTGTTCCCCCATAAGTCAATTTGGTCAGACACTGAGGCTTGTAAAAAGTGAATTTTCAAGCATGGAAGGATGATAAGATGATTTAGGTGTAGTACCTCTGGAAATTGCCATCAAAGGGAAAAGACTCAGAAAGTAAGCAATAGCAGAATATAGTGAGGAAAGACTGAAATTAACTAACATCTCAGGTGGAAGAAAACTCAAAGTATTTGAGTACAAGGAGATAACCAACAAAGAAGATATTAATAACAGAAGGGAATATGGCTTCCAGATCTCTTAAATTAGTCCACATACCTATGAAAAAATAGTGCATGACAAAGGAAAATGAATATACACTTCATGAGGCAGAGGATTATGTGAATTCTCAAGAAAGAATGAAATCACAGCAAGATATTCCCAAATAATTTGAGAGAAAACTAAGAATTGTGAAAGTAGAATATATGTCCTATACAGCAGAAATAATTGGTAGAACAGAAAAACTTAAATTCATGGTGGCAAAGTAACAATGGATTGTGAATATAAGTGCATAGATGTGGAGGACAATCTGTAGAAAAGAAGCAAAAAGCAATAACACTAAAAGAAAATATATGTACATATACATACATATATACACGTGTGTGTATGGATGTATGTCTCAGGCAAAATATTTTGATCTTGAAGACAGGATGCATAGAGAGAATTTAAAGATTATAGGTCTCCCAAAAGAACAAAAGTCAAAAAACCTAAACACATTTCAAGAAATGATACAAGAAAACATCCCAGAACTTCTGAACATCTGTGTTCTGAACAAAGTGCCAATCGAAAGAACACAGATTGCCTCCAGTTCAAAAAAAAATCCTATGCTGCAAATTCCTAGAGCCATAGTGGTTAAATTTAAAAATGCTAACTACAATCCACAAATTTTGCAAGTGATCAGGAGAAAAACCTTCAAAAAAAAAAAGGAAAAAGAAATTTGAATAACAAAAGGTCCATAAGAAACTGAAGGAGAGAAAGGGATAGTATGTTCTAAAAAGCAAAGAAGTTGAAGATACAATCCAAGGTAACATATTTTGCAAACCTGAGCCTAATCATCAAAAATAAATGATGGACATTCAATTAAAAAAAAACAGGTATTAAGAGTACTGGATATCCAATAAGATCGGGGGTGAAACTAGAATGTCCATTATCACCATTGTTATTCAATATTGTACTAGAAATGTTAGCTTCAGCAATAAGAGAAAAAAAATAAATTGAAGGAATTAGAATAAGCAAAGAAGTAACAAAGCTATCACTTTTTGCAGATGATATGATGGCATACTTAGAGAATCCTAGAGAATCAAGTAAAAAACTACTTGAAATAATAAACAACTTTAGCAAAGTTGCAGAATATAAAATAAACCCACATAAATCATCAGCATTTCTATATATTACCAACAAAGCCCAACAACAGGAGATAGAAGAAGAAATTCCATTTAAAGTTACTGTAGATATTATAAAATATTTGGGAGCCTACAGTTGCCCATGGGTTGACCAAGCTAATATAGTAAAAATGACAATTCTACTTAAATTAATTTACTTATTCAGTGCCATGCAAATCAAACTACCAAAAATTATTTTATAGAGATAGAAAAAATAATAACAAAATTCATCTGGAAGAACAAAAGGTCCAGAATATCAATGGGAATTAATGAAAAGAAATGCAAGGGCAAGTGGCCCAGCCATATCAGATCTTAAATTGTATTATAAAGCAGCAATCATCGAAACTACTTGGTACTGGCTAAGAAATAGAGTGGTGGATCAGTGAAATAGGTTAGGTTCACAAGAAACAGTAGTCAATGACTATAGTAATCTATTTTTGATAAACCCAAAGACTCCAACTTCTAGGAAAAGAACTTGGCTTGGATTGTAAGCTAACTAGGACAGCAAGGAATAGTTTACCTGTCAGATTTATGGAGAATGGAAGAATTTATGAGCAAACAAGAGATAGAGAAAATTATGAAATGCAAAATGGATAATTTTGATTACATTAAATTGAAAAGTTAAAAAAAAAAGCCAAATACAACCAAAATTGGAAGGGAAGCAGAAAGCTGGGAAACATTTTTTACAACCAGTGTCTCCGATAAAGGCCTCATTTCTAAAATATATAGAGAACTGAGTCAAATTTATAAGACTATGAAGTCATTCCCCAATTGATAAATGGTCAAAGGATATGAACAGGCAGTTTTCAGAGAAAGAAATTAAAGCTATCTATAGTCATATTAAAAAAATTCTCTAAATCACTATTGATTAGAGAAATGCAAATCAAAACAACTCTGAGGTACCACATCACATCTATCAGATTGGCTAACATGACAAAACAGGAAAATGATAAATGTTGGAGAAGATGTGGGAAAAGTGGAACACTAATGCACTGTTGGTGGAGTTGTGAACTGATCCAGCCATTCTGGAGAGCAATTTGGAACTATGCCCAAAGGGCTATAAAGCTGTGCATATCCTTTTACCTGGCAATACCACTTCCAGGTCTGTATCCCAAAGAGATCATAAAAATGGGAAAAGGACCCACATGTACAAAAATATTTATAGCAGCTCTTTTTGTGGTGGCAAAGAATTGGAAAGTGAGGGGATGCCTATCAATTGGGGAATGGCTGAACAAATTGTGGTATATAAATGTAATGGAATACTATTGTTACATAAGAAATGATGAGCAGGCAGACTCCAGAAATACTTGGAAAGATTTACATGAACTGATGCTGAGTGAAGTGAGCAGAACCAGGAGAACATTGTACACAGTAACAGCTACATTGTGTGATAACTAACTTTGATAGACTTAGCTCTTCTCAGCAAAGCAAGGATCTAAGACAACTCCAAAAGACTCATGATGGAAAATGCTATCTGAATCCAGAAAAAGAATATGGAGTCTCAATGCAGATTGAAGCATACTATTTGCGCTCTCTATTTCTCTCTCTCCTCTCTCTCTCTCTCTCTCTCTCTCTCTTTCTCTCTCTCTCGGCTCTAATTCTTCTTTACAACATGGCCAATGTGAAAATATGTTTAATATGAATATATATGTAAAGCCCATATCAAAATGCA